AAGAGATGAGGTCAGAGTGACAGCCCTTGACATCCAGTCTACATTCGACCAAGTGTGGCATCAAGAAGTGTGTTCCTCAGGGATCTGTACTGGGACCTCTGTTGTTTGTGATATATATAAATGACTTGGATGAAAATATAGATGTGTGTGTTAATAAGTTTGCAAACAACACAGAGATCAGTGGAGTTGTGGATAGTATAGAAGATTGTCAAAGGATACAGTGGGATATAGATCGGTTGCAGATATGGGCGGAGAAATGGCAGATGGAGTTTAATCCAGATAAGTTTGAGGTGCTGCACTTTGGGACATCAAATGTTAAGGAAAAGTATACAGTTAATGGCAGGACCCTGAACAGCATTGATGTACGGAGGGATCTTGGGGTTCAAGTCCATAGTTCCCTGAAAGTGGCCATGCAAGTAGATAGGGGAATTGAGTACAAGAGTCAGGATGTCATGTTGCAGCTTTATAAGACTTAGGTTAGGCCACACTAAAGAGTATAGCATTCAATGCTGGTCACCACATTACACAAATGATGTGGAGGCTTAGAGATTTACAGGATGTTGCCTGGGTTGGAGGGTATGAGCTATAAGGAGAGGCTAGAAAAACTCAGGTTTTTTTTTCTGGAGTGTTGGAGGCTGAGGGGAGATTTGATGGAAGTCTTTAAAATTATGATATGCATAGATAGGGTTGACGGTCAGTCTTTTGCCCGAAGTTGAGATGTCTAATAGTAGGGAGCATGCATTTAAGGTGAGAGGGGGAAAGTTCAAAGGGGATGTGAGGGGGAATTTTTTTTTTTTACACAGTAAGTGTTAAGTGTCTGGAACACGCTGCAAAGGTGGTGATGGAGACATGTATAAAAGGGGTGTTTAAGGAGCTTTTAGATTAGCACATGAATGTGCAAGGAATGGAGGAATATGGACCAAGAGTAGGCAGAAGGGATTAGTTTAATTTGGTGTCATATTCAGCACAATATTGTAGGCCAAAAGACCCATTCCTGTACTGTACTGTTCTATGATCTGTGTTCTAAGAAGCCCCGACAGAACTGGAATCGATGGGTACTGGGTGCAAACTCTCTGCTGGTTGGAGTCATACGTGGCTCTTAGGAAGATGGTTATGGCTGTGGGAGGTCAGTCATCTCAGCTCCAGGACATCTCTGCAGGAGTTCCTCAGGGTAGTGTTTTAGACCCAACCATCTTGAGCTGCTTCGTCAATGACCTTCACTCCATCATAAGGTCAGAAGTGGGGATGTTCGCTGATGATTGCACAATGTTCAGCACCATTCGTGACTCCTCAGATACTGAAGTAGTCCATGTTCAAATGTAGCAAGATCTGGACAATATCCAGGCCTGGGCTGACAAGAGGCAAGTATAATTTGTGCCATGTGCTGACCATATTCAGCAGGAGGGAATCAAACCATCATCCCTTGACATTCAGTAGCATTACCATCACTGAATTCCCCACTATTACTGACACTGAAGATAGCTGTGGAGTAGCAGTGCAGTGTGCAGGCTCCTGCCTGGAGCTTATCTGCTCTGCCTGCTTTCACTTGTTCCTTTCTCTTCTTTCACTTTTTTTTAATTCTTTCTTTAATCTACTTACCATTTGTGGAGAGCGAGTTTGTGCAGCATGGAGGAAATCAATGCAGAGGAGAGTGAGCCCAGTGCAGCGGAGGTGAGTCATCGTGGGTAAGTGAATGTAACGTGGTGGAGAGTGAGGTCCCCGGCATCTGTGGTGGCAGCGAGAACAGGCAGCCTGAGTGGTCAGTGGACAGGCAGGTCCAGGTTGAGTTCGGTATGGTCTGGTGGTGAGGCCCACCATGGTCTGGCGGTGAGAACCAGCGAGGTCTGGTGGCGAGGCCTGGCATGGTCTGTTAGCGAGACCCAGCACGGTCTAGAGGTGAAGGCCTGGTGTGGAGCTGGAGGTGAGGCCTGTTGCGGCCTAGAGGCGAGGCCTGGTGCAGTCTGGTGGAGAGGCCTGGCATGGTCTGTTAGCGAGACCCAGCACGGTCTGGAGGTGAAGGCCTGATGTGGAGCTGGAGGCGAGGCCTGACAGAGTCTGGAGGCAAGGCCTGTCGCGGACTGGAGACGAGGCCTGGTGTGGAGCTGGAAGTGAGGCCTGGCACAATCTGGAGGCGAGGCCAGGTGTGGAGCTGGAAGCGAGGCCTGGCACGATATGGAGGCGAGGCCAGGTGTGGAGCTGGAAGCGATGCCTGGTGTGGTCTGGAGGCAAGGCCTGACGCGGTCTGGAGGCGAGGCCTGGTGTGGAGCTGGAAGCGAGGCCTGGTGCGGTCTGGAGGCGAGGCCTGGTGCGGTCTGCTTAAAACACTGTAATGCTGAACTTTTAAAAAATGTCTTTATTTTTCTACTTTATTCCTAAGGTTTTGTACCTAGGTACCTTGCACCTAAGATGTAAGCGGTGACTTTGTGAACCTTTCACTGTACTCATGTGAGTACATGTGAAAATAAAACTAATTCAATTTAAAACCAACATCCTGGGTTACAATTCATCAGAAACTGAACCGACTAACCATATAAACACAGTGGCTACAAGGGAGGTCACAGGCTAAGAATACTGCAGCAGGTCACTCACCTCAAGGCACAAGTCAAGAGTGTGATGGGATACTCCCCACTTGCCTGGATGAGTGCAGCCCCAACAACACTCAGAAGCTCGACACCATCCAGGACAAAGCAGACTGCTTGATTCCCATCACTTTCACATACTCCCTCCACCATAGAAGCTCAGTAGCAGCAGTCTTCTACAAGATGCACAGCAGAAATTCACCAAGACTCCTTCAACATCATTTTTGAAGCCCACTGCCATTAGAATGACAAGGATAGCAGGTACATGGGAGTTCCCTGCAAGTTCTTCACCATCCTCACTCGGAAATATATCACCCTTCCTTCAGTGTCACTGGGTCAAAACTCTGGAACCCCTCCCTAACAGCACTGTGGGTCTACCTACAGCAATGTGGCCAGCAGTGGTTTAAAAAGGCAGCTCACCACCACCTTCTCAAGGATGACTAGGAATAGGCAATAAATACTGGCCAGCCAGCGATGCCCACGACCCACGAGTGCATTAACAAAAGTGAAAATTTGTCATCTTTACCTGGTTTGGCCTACATGTGCTTGCAGAGCCAGTTTCATGTGGGTAACTCTGAACTGCCCTCTGAAACTGAGTAATTAGGCATGGGCAGTATGGCCTAACCAGCAATACCTGCATCCCTTGATAAAATAACTAACAACAGCATTCAGCTTCTCATCATTATTTTCTAATCTACTTGTTCAGAGATGATATTACACACCTTTGGAACAGATAGGACTTGAACCTAGGCCTCGTGGCTCAGATGTAGGGGCACTACCACTGCGTCACAAGAGCCTAACATCCAATAACCACAGTAATTGTGCCCATGTCTTAGGAACTAAAGTCATTCCTCAGTTATTGCCAACCACCTACGTGCAATCAGAAAGAAAGATTTGCATCTATTCAGTGCCTTTCACAGACATCAGACATTTCAAAAATGCTTTACAGTCAATGAGGTACTTATCAAATATTGTCACTGTTGCTGTATGGGAAACATACCAACTAATTAGACCAAATCAAACAGCATTGTGATCAGGTAACACTAGACAGTTATCACACTCTAATATTTTACACTTGCTTCCTGCCATTTTTCACAAGCCTATTACGATCGTGGGTCTCTGAAATATTTTTTCCTTAGTTTTCAATTTTTACAATTAGGTAACCATTCTTTTCTGCTGTACATAATAAATAAAAAGTAAAATATTGCAAATGTTCCAAATCTGAAATAAAAATAGCACATGCTGAAGAAACACAGAGAGAGAAAAAACAGTTAACATTTTCAGTCAAGTCTAACTGTTCTTCAGAACTTTTTGACCATGTTCTACTTCAGAAAACCAGTTGATGCAGGATAAAACTGAATTATTCCTTGTACGGATTTATTGTTACTTACAGAGCTCACAAGCATATACCTCTGAACCCAACAACCACAGGGTGAGTCTGTACCTATTCAATTGTCAATTTATTTATTATTAGGAGTTTGCACTAATCACCATGTTCTGTCATTTAAACCCAATGAATATACAATTAAAAGTCAAAGTAAACAGCCTTGGTAATGGGTCAATACAGTGTGGAGCTGGAGGAACATAGCAGGTCAGGTAGCATCAGTGGAGCAGGAAAGTCGACATTTCAGGTCAGGACCCTTAATCAGGACTGATGAAGGATGTAAACCCAAAATGTCAACTTTCCTGCTCCTCTGATACTGCCTGACCTGCTGTATTTCTCCAGCTCCACACTGTATTGACTCTCACTCCAGCATCTGAAGTTCTTGCTGTCTCCGAGCCTTGGTAATGGAATAGATGTGTGTTTAAAAGATAATCTCACGGGCAACGCAGAAAAAATTTGGAACTGATCCAGCTCAGCTTCAGTCAGTTGCCAAGCAGAGAGATGTAAACAAAAATCAGGGTACAGAAACTGGGACTGAAAACAGTGGCTTTGCCTTTTTCAAACATTGGTTTTCAAACAAGCAGTGTGACAAATTGTTATACTCTTTGTGTGGCAAGTGGTAAGAATACAAACCTTCCTATTACATGGAGTAGCTGAGATGAATAATGTTGACACATCTAAGAGGTAGCTAATTAAAATTATGCAGAAGAGGAATTGAGGATTAAGTTGATTGAGAGGGTGGCAGAAGGCTCAAATGGTGTATAAACACTGCTATGAACTGGTTGTACCAAATGACTTGTATGTTTGCTGGAATTCCATGTGTGGTTAGTGTTAGCCATATGGTGAGCTCCACCAGTATGAGCCTATGATACCAATTCACTTGGAGCAGTCTTTACTGATTTAGTTTGATGAAATTATTCATTATTTACTGTGTGTTTCAAATGGAAAACAGTGAAGGCAGAATTCACAGCAACACACATTCTTTATTGATCTGTATGGGATTACTAACATTCATATGCTCCTATTGTGCTTTTCAGAGGTAATTGGCGAAGTGGATGCTGTTAATGGAGACTCGTGTCAGGTAAGTTGCAATTTGCTCAGACCTTGTACTTTTTAATCCCCTTTGAGTGCATATCAGAAAATGGAAATGGAAATTTGAAGGGTGCTCCCCTGGACTTTGTTGTGCAGGGCACAATTTCATAATTTGCATTTAACTTGGAATTATTGTGAACTGTGCAGAAGATGTTGTTAAATTTCAAGAAGACTTGGTCAGTTTGGTGGAATGGGCAGGCAATGGACGGATGACATTTAATGCAGAAAATTGTGAAGTGATCCAGTTTGATAGGAAGAAGAACATGTAGAGACAATACAAAATAAAGAGTTCAATTCTAAAGGGGTGCAGATGCACAGAGACGTGAGTGTATATGTGCATAAATCATAGAAGTTGGCAAGACATGTTTAAAGTGCGGTTAATAAAGCATAGAGATTCCTGGACTCTATAAACAGAGGCATGGAGGACAAAGGCAAGGAAATGATAATAAATCTCTAAAAAAAAAACATTGGTCCATTCATAACTGGAGTATTGTGTCTCGTTCTGAGCAAACCCTTCAGGATGGATGAAAAGACATCAATGGGATTGGTTCCAGGGATGAGGAACTTCAGTTACCTAGACTGGAGAAGCTGGGACTGTTCATCTTAAAGAAGAGGCATTGAGATATTCAAAATCAAGCAAGATCTTGACAGAGAAGATAAGGAGAAAACAGCTGGTCCCCCTAGTTGAAAATCAGTAATGAGAGTCATCATTTTAAAGTGAAAGGCAGGAGGTTTAGAGGGGATTTGAGGAAAAGCTTTTTCATCAAGAATCTGGTGGGGTCTGGAATGCACTGGCTGGGAGGGTAGTTGAGGAAGGAAAGATCACAATCTCTAAAGGTACTTGGATGTGCACTTTAAGTGTCATAGTATTCAAGGCTACGGGCCAAATACTTGAAAGTGGGACATGTGTATTCTAGAATCATACAGCACAGAAGAAGCCTTTTGGCCCCATTCGGTCTGCACTGACTGTATGATTCTGTATTCCCTTTGGTTGAAGGATTAAGAACAATAGGACATAGAGGGAAGGAATTGCCAAAAGAAGCAACAGGAGTACAAGGAAAAAGATCTTCCTCACTGTGCACACTTAGGACCTGGAATGTACTGCCTGCCAGTTTCATGGAGGCAAGTTCAATCATGGATTTCAGAGGGAATTGAATCATTACCTGAAAAAAAATTACAGGGCTAAGGGAAAAAGGCAGGGAGTAATACACAATGACAAACATCTACTTCCTCCAGCCCCAACATTCAGTCGCAGCAGTGTGTACTATCTCCAAGATGCACTGCAGAAATTCACCAAGGCCAGCAGATACATGGGAACACCACCACCTACAAGTTCCACTCCAAGCCACTGACCATCCTGACTTGGAAATCTATTGCAGCTCCTTCAGTGTCACTGGGTCAAGATCCTGAAACTGCCTCCCTAAGGGCATTGCGGGGATTGCAAATCACCCCTGGATGGTTACTGACCAGTGACTGAATTTCTAGGTCCCAATGGAGGAAAGCATGTGGGTATGGATTATAGGTTTCATGTTGTGTTTTTAATGCTGCCAGTATTCTTTATGTTGGAGGAAGTCAGGCTCTCATAACTTAACAGATTTGGCAATTATCAATCGGCAATCCATGATGTTAACAAATTTACTGTCACCTAGTCAATATTGGAAATTTGCTGATGTCATTCCACTCTTTAAGAAGGGTGACAGAGGGAAATCAGGGAATTACAGACCAATTCTGTCGGCTGTGGTGGGGAAATTATTAGAGTCTATAATCATTATAATCATCTCGAAAAATTTCATTTAATCTGGGAGAGTCAGCATGGATTTACGAAGGGTAGGTCCTTCTTGACCAACGTCAGAGTTTTTTTGAACAGTTGAGAAATACAGTAGACAGAGGTAAATTGATGGATGTTGTTTATATGGCCTTCCAGACTTTTCATAAAATCCCACATAAGAAACTGTTAGCTAAAGTGGAAGCCCACAGAGATGAGGGCAAATTACTAATGTGGATAGGAAATTGGTTTAGTGGTAGGAAACAGATTGTTGGAATAATGGGTAAATACTCAAATTAGCAGGACATGACTAGTGCTGTCCTGAAGGGATCTGGGTGGGGGCCTCAATTATTCACAATATTCATTAATGACTTGGACAATGGCTTGAAAACTATCCAAATTTGCTGATGACACAAAATTGGCTAGCATTGTAGACAGTGTTGATGACAGCTTAAAATTATAACAGGATATTGATTGATTAGGTGAATGGACAGAGCTATGGCAGATGGATTTAACGATAAGCAAGTGTATTTTTTGAAGGCACACCCAGTGAATGTCCAATGAGATTTGGGGGTTCAGGTGGATAGCTCTTTAAAAAGTCACAAATAGGTGCAGAAAATAATCAAGTGGGCTAATGGAATGCTGGCCTTCGTATCTAAAGGGCTGGAGTATAGGGATGCAGATGTTATGTTGCAGTTTTACGAAACCTTAGTTAGACTCCAGAAGTTGAAGCTCATCTAATTCAATCTAGACTTGAGTCTTGCTTTACCTAATTAATAGAAAAGGGAAACAGTAAAAATGTGAAATAATGGGAGTGCTTCTATAGGAAGTTAGTTTATATACGTTTCTGCTTAAGTATTGTAATTGACTACTTCCTACATTTAACACCAACGTGCTAGACTTGAGTACATGGTTTATAGTTTATGGCTGGTGCTCAGTCTTAGAGTATTGTGAGCAAATTGGGCACCACACCTTAGGTAGGATGTTTTGGCTCTGGAGGGAATTCAACACAGGTTTACAAGGATGATACCCTGAACTTCAGAGTTTAAGTTATGAAGAGAGATTAGACAAACTAGCCCTTTATTCTCTAGAATTTAGAAGGGTAAGGGGTGACCTAATCGAGATCTCCAGAATATTAACAGGGAAAGACAGGGTAGATAAAGATAAACTATTTCCATTGGTTGAAGATTTTAGAACCAGGAGCCGTTTTTTAAAAATTATGGCCAGGCCATTCAGGAGAGACACGAGAAAGCACTTCTACATGCGAAGAATATTGGAGGTTTGGAACTCTCTTCTTCAAATGGCAGTCAATTGTTAAATTTAAATCTGAGATAGACAAGTTTTTATGAAGCAAGGGTGCAAGGGATATGGGCCCAAGGCAGACATATGGATGCCACAGATCAGCCATGATCTTATTGAATGGCCTACTCTTATTGCTATATTCCTAATAATTAAATTGGATTGTTGTGTGGCGGTTAGCAGCTTACAGACTAGATTGGGGGCATCTAGTGTCTATGGAGGGGCCAACACAGCATTCACCAGATGTGGACACACCATGAAATTAGGTGGGGTCCATAAAAGGGAGCATTCAGTCATTGGTATATAGGTGCTGTTAGGTGTGTAGAGGTCACAGGAAGAGGTCTGTATCTGCTTAGGCAATAGAAGGGCTTGTGGCCTTCCTGACCTCACAAAGGGTAGGAATGGAGGATAAAGGTTCCAGAAGTTATTTTGAGTGCAGCTGAGCATAATCATGGAGTATAGAAGAGGCCTTTCAGCCCATCATGTCTATACTGCCAAAAATACACTACTACCTACACCAGTCCCACTTTACTGCACTAGGCCCATAGCCTTGAATGTTACTACACGTCAAGTGCTCATCCAAATGTTTTTTGAAGTTGTTAGGTTACCTGCTTCAACTCCCTTCCCAGGCAGTGCATTCCAGAACTCCAGCACGCCCTGGGCGAAAAAAACTTTTCCTCAAGACCCCTCTAAACCTCTTGCCTTTCACTTTAATATTATGTTCTTGGCACTTTTCGACTAAGGGGAACAGCTGCTTTCTATTCACTCTGTCCATGCCATTCATAATCTTATACACCTCTACCAACACAAGCTGATCCAGCATGTCATCATAGTTAAACTGCTCTGTCCCAAGCAATATCCTGGTGAATCTTTTCTGCACCCCCTCCAGTGCAATCATATCCTTCCTGTAGTGTGGTGACCAGAAGTGCACACAGTATTCCAGCTGTGGCCTAACTAAGGTTCCATAGAGCTCCAAAATGACCTCCCTGCTCTTTGAATCAATGCCACAACTGATAAAGGACAGTTCTGATGAAGAGTCACAGGATTCAAAACGTTAATTCTGCTTTCTCCCTACAGATGCTGCCAGATTGCCGGAAATTTCTGTTTTTGAATCTTTATCTTAATGATCAATTCCTCTTGTATTAAATATAGCATCCAATGTTTCCTCTATGCTGCAGAGCTGGTCTGCCACTCTATGGTTCCTCTGAGGTTCCACACATGCCAGATGGTGCTGGTGTTTGATTTCCAGTATCAGAAGTTACTGCTGTGCACAGATCTTGCAGGCCCATGTACCGAGAAAATAAATTAGAGGGAGTATAGAAAGCATCCCATTGGCCTTCTTGATTAAGTGCTGTGTCTGCATAACTTCTTGTGACTCATGCATCAGAACTAAATCACTCTGTATCTCGGAATTCTGCCACAGTTTTCCATTTAAATAACACTCTGCTTTTTCATTCTTCCTGCCAAAGTGAACATCATTTTATATTCCATCTGCTAGATGTTATTAATGATGTTGTTGTTATACCAGAGACCTGGCTTAAGAAAGATAGATCTGGATGTTAAATATTCCTGGTTATAAGGTGTTCAGAAGAACCAGGAAACCTTTATAAAAGAGGGAGCTAAGCAGAGCATTGCGGTATTGGAGAAAGAGGATGCTTCAGAGGGGTCAAAAACAGAATTGATTTTGCTAGAGCTAAGGAACAGAAGGGTGTAATTATGTTGCATGGTGTAATCTATAGATCTCCCACTGATGAGAAAGATGTAGAGGAATGAATCTGTGAGGGAGGTGTGAATGTCATAGAGTAGCTATAATTGGGGTACCCGTGTATAGATTGGGATTTTGGTGGTGTAAAGGGCAGTCAGGGATAAAATGTTGCTAGATTATGTTTGGGAGAATTTCCTACAGCATTATGCATTCAGTGTTGCAAATTAGGTGGGCAAATGGGTAAAAATAACAGGGGGAACATTTAGGGCACAGTGTCATTGTATCACAAGTCATAGAATCATACAGCACGGAAGCAGACCCTTCCATCCAACATATACATGCTGACTAGGTTTCCCAAACTAAACTAACCCCATTTGCCTGTGTTTAGCCCATATTTTTCTAAACCTTTCCTATTCATGTACCTGCCCAAATGTCTTTTAAATGATATAGGTCAAACCAGAGTAAGAATAATCAACTAGTGGAGAGCAGATTTAGTTGAGTCAATGGGAAGACATAGTGGCGATGTCACTGGATTAGTAATCCAGAATCCCAGGCTAATGTTTTGGGATCATGAGTTCAAATCCCACCATAATAAATCGTGAAATTTGAGTTCAATAAAATAAAAATCTGGAACACAAAGATAGACTAATGGTAAGCATTGTCAATTATTGCAAATATCCACCTAGTTCACTAATGTTCCTTTCGGGAAGGAAATCTGCTATCCTTACAAGGTCTGGCCTACATGCCACGCCAGACTCACAGCAATGTGTTTGACTCTCAACTGACTTCTAAGCAATTAGCAATGGGCAATAAATACTGGTGTAGCCAGCAGCGCCCACAATTCATAAATGAAAAAAAAAACAGAAGAAAACAGAAAGTGTTGGAGAAACCCAGCAAGTTTGGCAGCATCTGTGGAGCAAAACAGAGTTAACAAACATTTCAAGTCCAGTGACCTTTCTTCACTACTGACTCTGACTTGTCACTTCCCTTCCTCAACATCTCTGTTGCCATTTCCAGGGATAGCCTGGGCACTGATGTGCATTACAACCCCATAGACTCCCAGTCCTGTTTCCTGTAAGGATTCCTAGTTCTGAAGAAGGGTCACTAGACTAGTTAACTCATTAACAAAGTTAACTCTGTCTCTTTCCACCAATGCTGCCAGACCTGCTGAGTTTCTCCAGCAATTTCAGCAAACAGAGCTGGGCTGAATAGATTGGAACCAAAAGTTGGTGAGAAAAACAGTAGCTGAATTATTGCCTGCTTTCAGAGGAATATTTCTCCCGAAACGTCAGTTTTCCTGCTCCTCTGATGCTGCCTGGCTTGCTGTGTTCCTCCAGCTCCACACTGTGTGTTATGTAGGACAGAGCTCCCTGGATGACAAATGAAATAGAAATTAAAACTAGTTTCTGACAGGTGTCAGGTAGTAAATACAATTGAGAAGTTGAATACAGAAGGTGCAAAATATGAGGCATTATAAAAAAAAATCTGGCAGCTAATATAAAGGGAAATCCCAAAGTGTTCTTTTAGCACATCAATCATAAGAATGGTAAAACACACAATGAGAGAAGAGGCATGGCTGATTGTTAAATAAATACATTGCAATTGTCCTTACCTACAAGGCAGACGCTGCCCAGGCTATGGTAACAGAGGAGGAAACTCAGTCACGAGAATGGTTTAAAATTGATAAGGAGGATGTAATGGATAAGGTATTTGTATTTATTGTTGATAAGGCACTAGGATCGGATGAGATATTTTCAAGCATACTGAAGAAAGTAAGAGTGAAAATTGCAGAGGCATTAGCAATAATTGTTCAATTCTCCATGGATTTGGGCATTGTGCAAAACATTACACCCTTGTTCAAAAAAGCGTTGTAAAGATCGGCAAAGAATTACAGACCAATTAAGTTAACTTTGGAGATAGAGAAACTTTTGAAATAATTATTTGTGACAGAATTAAAAGTCACATGTAAAATGTGGGTTAATTTGGAAATCAGCATGAATTTGTTAAGGGAGAATTGTATCTAATTAACTGGATTTTTTTGAAGAGGCAACAGAGGGGATTAATGAGGGCAAAGCTGTTGATGGGTGATGTACATGGATTTCCAAAAGGCATTGGAGCAGTGCTCCACACACACAGTTGTGATGAGAATTGATGGCTATTGAATAAAAGGGACAGTGGCAACGTGGATACAAAATTGCCTGAGGGACGGGAAACAGAGAGTAATGAACAATATATATTTTTTTGGCAGGAGATGGGTTTGTAGTGGAATTACCCAGCGGTTAGTATTGGGGCCCTTGCTTTCCCTGATATATATTAATGATTTGAATTTTGATGTGCAGGTGACAATTTCAAAATGCACACATCTCAAAAAACTTGGAAGAATTGTAAACCTTGAGGATAGTGTAGAACTTCGAAGAGACATTGGCATCCTGTTGGAGTAGGCAGGAAGTGTCAGTTGATACCTTTTGGTTTAAAGAACATGGAGACATCATATTAAATAAAGGGTACTCTATTCTAAAGGGTGTGCAGGCGCAGAGAGACCTGGTTGTAGATGGTACTTAAGTCTTTAATGGGGGCAGGATAGTAGAGATAGCTGTTAATAAAACATACAAAATTCCAGGCTTCATTCATAGAAGCATACAGTACATTAGCAGGGAGGCTATGATAAACATATATAGGACACTGGTTAGACCTCAACTGGAGAACTGTGTACAGTTCTGGGCACCACACTTTGGTAGGGATGTGAATATATTGGAGAGAGTGCAAAGGAGATTTACAGAGAACATTCCAGGGATGAGATACTTCAGTTATGAGGAAAGATTGAAGAAGTTGAGACTGTTTTCCTTGGAGAAGAGAAAGCTAAGCGGAAACTTGATAGAAGTTTTCAAAATCATGAGGGGCTAGACAGAATGGATAGAGAGAAAATATTTCCATGTGTGAACAGATTGAGAATCAGAGGGCATATCTCATAGGGTTCTGCAAAACAAGCAAACGTGGGGTGAGAATTTTTTTTTTCACACTGCAAGTAGAGCCTGGAATGCACTGCTTAGAAATGTGGTGGAGGCAGGTTCAAGTGAGGCATTCAGGAGGGCCTTGGATGATTATTTAAATAGAAAGCATGTACAGAGTTTTGGGGAAAAGGCAGAAGATTTGTGTTGAAATGTTCAGAGATATTGCAGAATGATGGGCTGAATCATTTCTATCTGCACCGTATCAATTATGTGATTCCGTGACAATAAGACGTGGGGAGTGGGAAGGAGCATGACTGCTGAGGATAACGTCATCTTCAATTATTTCAATGATGTGGGTGTGAGCCTTCTGCCAGTGTTAAATGTTTGAGTATGAGATGAAAGAAATGCTTCTCATTTATGAGTCTAGTCAAGAGATTGAGTGGTGAGTGATGTGTTGATGAAAGCAGTGACAAAGGTTGATAGTACACTTGGCAGAATGCGACTTTTTTTTATATACTCAGCAATGCAGTGTGGGCATTACTGGCACAGCTAACATTTATTTCCCTAATCAGAGGAGGTGACAATCTAGTGGTATTATCACTAAACTGTTAATCCAGAGACCGAGAAAACATTCTGGGGACCTAGTTTGAATCCTGCCGTGGCAGATGGTGGAATTTGAAATCAATAAAAATGTGGAATTATAGTCTGATGATGACCATAAATCATTGTCAATTGTCAGAAAAACCCATCTGGTTCATGAATGTCCTTTAGGGAAGGAAACTGCCATCTTTACCTCACCTGGTATGGATGTGACTCCAAACTCACAGAAACATGGTTAACTCTTAACTGCCCTCTGGATAGGCAATACATGTTGGCCCAGCCAGCAATGCCATCATCCTATGAATGCATTAATAAAAACCTTTTGAGAAGGTGAGCTCTTTTCTTGAAATGCTGTGGTCTGTTTGCTGTAGGTAAACCAGTTTCATTGGGGTTTGAGACTTTTAAAGCACTTTGATACAACTGAGAGACTTTCCAGGCCATTTCAGAGGGCAGTTAAGAGTCTGGAGTCATAGGTAGACCAGACCAGATAGTGGACTGTAGATCTCTTTTCCTAAAGGACATTAGTAAACTCAATGGATTTTTACAATCAACAGTGGTTTCATGGTCATCGTTAGAGTTTTAATTCAAGGTTTTTTTTTGAAAAATCTATTTCCACCATCTCCTCATGCGTGGAATTGAATGCAGGATCCCAGGGTATTTAAAGGTATGACCCAGGCTACGAGTCTATCAACAGTTACCACCAAGCCATCAGCTCCCTCAGAAAATATATACACTCGCTGATCTTGACCACTTGTGTAAAGTCATTGAACGCCATGTGGTGATGGTTTCAGATTCTTCGGGCTAGACCACCACAGCTGTCTGCACCCTTTATGTCTGAAGGACCTGTGCCTCCTGTAGATACAGAACACACTTCTCCGTTATGGTCTCTTGTGCAGCTTTGAAAACCTGCATAAGATTCAGCTCACCCAGGATTCCCAGCATATGCTTCAGCTGCAGTGTACCTTCTGGATTGCAGCCTGGCTTTATACAGTTCTCACAAATCTTATGCATTCAATCAATCACAACACACATAGTTCTGGCTACACACAGAAATCATGTTGGCCACTCCAAGGAGTGGACAAGGCTGCTGTAATCACACATTGTGATTGCTGTGCCTATTTTCAGGACTATCAAATGTAGGGTTTTAGAATTACAATCCTTAATTTTGCAAGGAGCTGCATCGCACCAGTCAACATTAGAAAAATTTTGAGTCCCATTTCTATCAGTATCTTTACCAGGAGTGCTGGGCCACTCGGGAATTGCTCAGCCATTCAGAATCTTCCATGGCACTTGTTCATTAACATAATTAATGTAGAGAACAATGAATGCATGTTTTTAAAATTCCTCTTTCAACAGGAGAATGGGGCTGATGCATATTCAGCTATTTCACAAGCTGATAAACTGCCCCAGGAGCCAGACAGTATACGCAAATGGAGAGAAGAACAAATAAAGCATCTAGCGGAGTTGGGTAAGCGATCAAAAACTGGTAAATTACTTTCAAGTTAAAACAATAAAATGGGCAGACACATGACAGATGAAATTTAAAATAGAGATGTGTGAAATTATTATTATGTGGCGTACTTGGATTTCCAAAAGGCTTTCAATAAACCTTTACTATGCAAATTAGAGGTTACTGCGCAAGATTAGAGCTCATGATTCAGGAGCTATCATATTACCAAAGTTAAAGTATTGGATAGCCAATAGAAAGCAACAAATAAGAACAAAAGAGTCTTTTTATGTTGGCAAGCTGTAACTAGTGAAGTGCCATAGGGATCAGCACTGGGGCCTCAGGTATTTACAGTGCATATCATTGATTTGGATGAAGGGATCAAATGTATTGTTAGCTATATTGGCCAATGGCATCAAGACAGGTAGGAAATTTATTTTATTCACTCATGGGATTGGGGCATTGCTGGCTGTCTGGCCTGCATTTATTTCCTACCGTTAGTTGCCCTTCAGAAGGTGGTAATGAGCTGCCTTCTTAAATTGTTGCAGTCCATGTGTTGTGGGTTGACCCACAATGCCCTTAGGGAGAGAATTCCAGGATTTTGACCAAGCCATGATGTGGAGGTGCCGGTGTTGGACTGGGGTGGACAAGGTCAGAAATCACACAATACCAGGCTATAGTCCAACAGGTTTATTTGAAAGCACAAACTTTTGGAGCCTCGCTCCTACACCTGAACAAGGAGCGAGGCTCCAAAAGCTTGTGTTTTCAAATAAATCTGTTGGACTATAACCTGATGTCGTGTGATTTCTGACTTTGACCCAGCAACATGAAGGAACGGCAATATGTTTCCAAGTCAGGATGGTGAGTGGCTTGTAGGGGAACTTGAAGGTGGTGATGTTCCCATGTCCATGGTTCTGCTCTTGTCCTTCTAGATGGAAGTGGTTGTGGGTTTGGGAGGTGCTATCTGAGGATCTTTGGTGAATTTCTGCAGTAGTTCTTGTAGATAGTACACACTGCTGCTCCTGAGGGTCGGTGGTGGAGGGAGTTTGTTAATGTGGTGCCAATCAAGCGGGCTGTTTTGTACTGGATGGTGTCAAGCTTCTCGAGTGTTGTTGGAGCTGCACTCATCCAGGCAAGTGGGGAGTATTCCATCACACTCCTGACTTGTGCCTTGTAGATGGTGGACAGTCTTTGGGAGTCAGGAGGTGAGTTACATGCCACAGTATTCCTAGCTTCTGAACTGACCTTATAGCCACTGTGTTTATATGGTGAGTCTAGTTGAGTTTTTGGTCAACGGTAACCTTAAGGATGTTGATAGTGGGGGATTCAGTGATAGTAACACCATTGAATGTCAATGGGCAGTGGTTAGACTGTCTGTTATTATTGATGGTCATAGCTTGGCATTTCTGTGGCACGAATGTTACTTGCCACTTGTCACCCCAAGCCTGGATATTGTCCAGATCTTGCTGCATTTGAACATGGACTGCTTCAGTATCTGAGGAGTCACGAATGGTGTTGAACATTGTGCAATCATCGGCAAACATCCCCACTTCTGACCTTATGATGGGGGGAAGGTCATTGATGAAGCAGCTGCAAATGGTTGGGACTAGGACACTACCCTGAGGAACTCCTGCAGAGATGTCCTGGAGCTGAGATGACTGACCTCCAACAACCACAACCATCTTCCTAAGAGCCATGTATGACTCTAACCACCAGGGAGTTTGTCCCCTATACCCATTGATTCCAGGTTTACTAGGGCTGTAATGTCACACTCAGTCAAATGCAGCCTTGATATCGAGGGCTGTCACTCTCTCACCTCACCTCTGGAATTCAGCTCTTTTGTCCATGTTTGAACCAAGCCTGTAATGAGGTCAGGAGCTGAGTTGCCCTGGCAGAACCCAAACTGGGCATCACAGAGCAGGTTATTGCTGAGCACGTGCTGCTTGATAGCGTTGTTGATGACACCTTCCATCACTTTACTGATGATCAAGAGTAAACTGATGGGGCAATAGTTGCTCGGTTGGATTTGCCCTGCTTTTTATGTGCAGGACTTACCTGGGCAATTTTCTACATAGTCAGGTAGATGCCAGTATTATAATTGTTTTGGAACAGCTTGGCTAGGGGAGCAGCAAGTTCTGGAGCACAAGTCTTCAATACTATTGCTGGAATGTTGACAGGGCCCATAGCCTTTACCAGATCTAGTGCCTCTCACCGTTTCTTAATATCACATGGGATGAATCAAATTGGCTGAAGACTGCTATCTGTAATGCTGGGGACCACTGGATGTGGCTGAGATGGATCATCTACTCGGCACTTCTGGCTGAAGATTGTTGTGAATGCTTCAGCCTTATCTCTACACCTTGTTATGTCAGATTCTCCAGCATCGGCAGTTCCTACTATCTCATCCTCCAGTGAGTTGTTTAATTGTCTACCGCCATTTATGTCTGGATGTGGTAGGACTGCAGAGCTTAGATCTGATCCATTGGCTGTGGGATTGCTTGAGGCTGGTACAATGACAACATTTAAAAGGTATCTGGATGAGTACATGAATAGGAAGGGTTTAGAGGGATATGGGCCAAATGCTGGCTAATGGGACTAGATTAATTTAGGATATCTGGTTGACATGGATGAGTTGGACGGAAGGATCTGTTTCTGTGCTGTATATCTGTATGACTCTATCACTTGCTGCTTAAGCTGTTTGGCACACAAGTAATCTTGTTTGGCAACTTCACCTAGTTGACACCTCATTTATAAGTATGCCTGATGCTGCTCCTGTAATGACCTTCTGCACTCTCCATTGAACCATGGCTAATCCCCTGGCTTGATGATAATGATCGAATGGGGGATATGCCGGACCATGAGGTTACAGATTGTGTTGGAGTCCAAACCTGATGCTGTTAATGGCCCACAGCACCTCATGGATGCCCAGTCTTGAGTTGCTAGATCTGTTTGAAGGCTGTCCCATTTACTATGGTGATGGTGCTGCACAAAACAATGGAGGTTATTCTCAGTGCAAAGGTGGGACTTCAGCTCCTCAAGGACTGTGCAGTAGTCACTGTTTTCAATACTGTCATGGACAGATGCATCTGCATCTGACGTATTGGTAAGGATGAGGTCAAGTGTGTTTTTCCCTTCATTGGTTCTCTCACCAGCTGCTGCAGACCCAGACCAGCAGCTATGTCCTTTAGGACCCAACTAGTTCGATGATTAGTGCTGCTGCCGAGCCACTCTTGGTGGTGGACATTCAAATTCCGACACCCAGAGTACATTTTATGCCGTTGCCATCCTCAGTGCTTCCTCCAAGTTTTGTTCAACATGGAGGAGTATTGATTCATCAGCTGAGGGAGGACGGTATGTGGTAATTAATAGGTTTCCTTGCCCATGTTTAACCTGAAGCCATGAAACTTCATGGGGTTCGGAGTCAATTTTGAGGATTCCCAGAGCAACTCCCTCCCTACTGTATACCACTGTGCTGCCACCTCTGCTGGGTCTGTCCTGCCAGTAGGACAGGACATATCCAGAGATGGTGATGGTCAATGGGACATTGTCTGTAAGGTATGATTCTGTGAGTATGTCAGGCTGTTGTTTGACTAGTCTGTGAGACAGCTCTCCCAATTTTGGCACTAGCCCCCAGATGTTAGTGAGGTGGATCTTGCGGATCGACAGGGCTATTTGTGCTGTTCTGTTTTCTGGTGCCTAGATGCCAGGTGGTTCGTCTGGTTTCATTTCTTTGTTGAAACTTCGTAGGAATTGATACAACTGAGTGGCTTGCTTGGCTATTTCAGAGGGCAGTTGAGAGTCAACCACATTGCTGTGGGTATGGAGTCACATGTAGGCTAGACCCCAGGTGAGGATGGCAGATTTCCTTCCCTGAAGGACATTAATGAGTTGTCAAGAGGAGGTGGAGTCTGCAAAGGGTAATAGACAGGTAAAGTGAGTGGGCAAAATGTTGACAGATGGAGTATTATTGGGGAAAATGTGAACTTGTCCATTTTGGCAGAAAAAAAATAGGAAAGCAGTGTACAATTTAAATGGAGAGGAATAGGAAAACTCGGTGGGTGCAGAGGGATCTGGGTGTTCTGGTACATTAATCAGAAAATGTTAGTATGATGGTACAGCATGTGATCAGGAAGTCAAAAAAGAATGTTGGTCTTTGGAAAAGAATGTAAAAGTGGGGAGTTCCAGAGAATTCTTTGAAACATTCTGCAACTAGGTTCTGAACATCAACGATTTCAGTAACAGGACAAAAGCTTCAGTCCATGATGCAGTTATTATCACCATCCTTCTCTCAGGTGTTGAAACTTAGATCTCCCCTTCTTAATGCCCTTTCACCAATGCCTCCCATGCAGTGTCCAAAAACGTTGGTGTTTGCTATCTCCCATGAAACACTTCTGTCAGTGTTTCCCTGGTCATAGTCATTCTTGCACAAATGCAATGTACCACCTTTCAAGAGATGTAGACTAGTTTGGGGTAGAGCTGACCACCAATGTGATTGCCCCGTGCCAATGTATATAGGCAATCAACAGTGTCATTAGTATTGGCTGGATGCTGACACAGTTGAAACGAATAAGCAGCAAGTTCATGTTCTTCCTGCGCCATAATCAATGGATATGAATTAATTATACATCACAATCTCATTTTTGATGCAATCACATTTAGTCCTGTCTATGTAATAACCCCTGCAAGAACAATGGAAACCGAATTCCAATAAACTCTAGAGAAAGGAATCATTTTTACCTTTGAATTTCTTAGATGCCAACTCTCGTGAAGCAGAACTGGAATGGAGAGAGAAGGCAAAGAAAGATTTGGAAGATTGGTACATACAACAAGCAGAGCATCTCGAAGAAATGAAAACTAATAACAGGTATGTTGCTAAGAGCTCAGTATTGTCATGCAGTAAACCCTCTGGTAGGAGTGGTACACTATCCTGTCTTAATATCTCACCAATTTACTTTTCTTTTTTATGGAAAGATTTTATTCAATCTTAAAAAGAAATTATGTTCTGAACATCAGTTTAAAAGAATAAATAAATAGTTCAGTAAGGAACATAATACCGGAAGGAGGCCATTCAAGACTTCAAGCCTGTTCTGTCATTCAGTTTGATCTGATCTGTACCTTGGCTCTATTTACCTGCTTTGGTTTATATTCATTAATGTTCTTTCTAATCATAAATCTATTCCTGTGACTTCAAAAATTTTTAATTGAATCCCAGCCTCAAGCATTTCTTTAGGAAGAGACAGGAGGTTTAGAAGAGATGTAAGGAAAAATGTGTTCACCCAGGGATGGTGGGAATCTAGAACTCACAGTCTGTAAGGAGGGAAGAGGCAGACACTCTTGTAACATTTAAGAAGTATTTAGATGTACACTTGCAATTCAAAGGCATAGAAAGCTAGACGCCAACTGCTGGAAGACTGGATTAGCATAATTAGGTGGTTTTTTTTCAATGGAGCAGATTCAACTGGTCTTTTTTCAGTGCTGTGGACATTTATGATTTCTTTGCACAAAGGAAAACAACCCAAATTTCTCCAACTGAACCTTGTGGCTAAAATTTTCCATCCCTGGCATCATTCTGGTAAATCTCCTGTACACCCTGTGAAGGCTCCTCACAACCTTCCTAATGTATGATCACCAGAACTGTGTGTAATCCTTGAATAGTGACCTATTGTAATATATGTAGTTTAAGTTTAAATATCCCATTACGTTTCCCTTTATGCATTCATGGTTGCAGTTTCTCACTTCCCTAATTTGATTTGTTTGGCCAGTTCTTTGCCTTTCTGTTGAAACCCTTTAGTGGAGGAGGGAAAGTCTGTCCTAGTTTATCAGGAAGGGAATCGTATTAAACAAAGCAGTGCTTGAAGAAGATACCCTCACCACCATCACCATCCCCAGGGCAATTAGAGATGGGCAATAAATGCTGGCCTAGCCTACAATGCTCATATCCTGTGATTTTTTTGTAATGTCTGCTGACCTTTATTAATGATTGAATCATTTCCTTGTGAATCAGACTTTTCCTAAATATACAATATATTTAAGCCAAATTTTCAGAAGTTTACAATTTCGACTTGGTTGACATTTGTCTATATGCCCCTCATTACATCAGCCTTAGAGTTCAGCTTGGCAGTGCTACTGATTACTCACCCTCCAAGATCACACCCCCAGTGTTGGCAGTAGCTTATCACCCCTCTGAGTGATCTCAGCTGTATCTAACTGGTCCATGCAGTGCCCTGCCTGAGAACCAAGGAGTGTCGATGGAAAAGCAGAGTCATGAAATGCAGTCAGTTTTCTCCTTTATTCTGTTTTTTACCTAGAATAATTGAGAGTCTTTGCATACAATTCACTGTTTCCAGCCAATTTTTTTTTCTATTTTTTCTGTTTGTTTACTTTGGTTTTAGAAGGACAGGCTTCCACTTACTAACTGATGTTCAGGGAATTCTCCACTACTGAAGCTCCTACTCTCTTTTTTCATCTTCTCTAGAATTTGACACATTTTCCCCCTAAGTTAACGAACTGTGATGTCTCTAAATTTAAAATATCTGAGATTCCTCAGTAAATATTCTGCTGTTTTAATAAATCATCCTTCCCTGCAGGCTATTGCTATGTAGGCTGTTGGGGGAAACTCAGAGACCCAGATCCATGCAGGACATTATACAGGCACAGAGATATACAGCACGGAAACAGACCCTTTGATCCAACTCGTCCACGGCGACCAAATTTCCCAATGTGACCGAGTCCCATTTGCCAGCATTTGGCCCATATCACTCAAACCTTTCCTATTCAAATACCCATCCATATGCCTTTTAAATGTTGTAATCATACCAACCTCTCACCATAACCCTATGCCCTCTAGTTCTGGACTTTTCCCATCCTAGAAAAAAGATGTTGGCTACTTACCCTATTCATGCCCCTCGTGGTTTTATAAACCTCTATAAGGTCATCCCTCAGCCTCCGATGCTCCAGGGAAAATAGTCCCAGCCTATTCAGCCCCTCCCTATAACTCAAACCCTCAAAGCCTGCCAACATCCTTGTAAATCTTTTCTGCAGCCTCTCAAGTTTAACAACACAAACCCACTCCCACTTTATAGATTTTTTAAAAATCAACCTGCTCAGAGATCTTATTACACACCTTTGGATTAACTTACTAAAAGGAAGTTTGCACCAAACCTCAGCCAAAGATGCGGTGATGGGGCAGTAATTTACCTGGGAACACTGTTGCCAATGGTCTCTGCTGAGTTCAGAAGTCAATTTGCTACAAAATGGACAGGAAAAGATCAATGTGGGACAGTCACATTACTTTAGTGAAACTGCCTTTTCACATTTCAAATCCCCATCCTTCACCACTAGATTTTAGGGCAGACATTATGTCATGGAAACCTAATAGAGTTGGGAATCCCCCACCTCAATTCTATTTCAATCAACTAGCAGCAACTAGATCATGGCATTCCCACCTGCTACATTGTCTAGTTCCAGGAATGTCAGGTCTATACAAGTAACCCTATGTTTGTTCTGTTTGTTTGTGTTGTGTCTCAATTTTATCTTACCATTTGATCTCTCTCTGAATGCTGCTCTCTGTGGACTACACCACCAACCTTTCGATTCTAGGATTCTGGATGAGGCTTTCTACAAACAACCCTTCGCCGATGTGATTGGCTATGTGTATGTTTCCCTTCTTAATATGTCCTTCTTTCTATTTCTACCTCTTAAACAATTCATTGTGAAATTTATTTGCTTTTACTTTGATCACTTTCTGCCACATTCTACTGTATTACATCATTTTAAGGTGCTCAATAACTAAGGAGTAGAGTGATCAGGTTAATTTTCTGTTTTGTCAACTAAATCACAAGATTTACCATGTAAGACCAAACAAAGGATGGTATTTTTGGCTCAGTGGTAGAACTCTTGACCCCGAGTTAGAGGTTATGGGTTTGAGTTATATAATTGCAAGTTTATTGTTTAAAGTATTCTTTTCATTTTGTTTGAAAACATTATAGAATTAAATGTTAGACACTGTATTTACTGAGTACATATTGTGAAATTTCAAAATTCACTCACTCAGATTCCTGGAACTCCCTCCCTAACAGCAGCGTGGTCTACCCACACCAAAGAGACTGCAGTGGTTAAAGAAGGCAGCTGAACACCACCTTCCCACAGGACAATTAGGGACAGGCAATAAATTCTGGCCCAGCCAGTGACAACCACATCCCATGAAAAAAGTAGATGTTTACAGAAAACTGGGAATGACTGACACCTGATAATAAAACACTACACAAGCCAAGTTAATCAGTCCATAATTGCAAGCTGGTAGTGTGAATAACATGGTCCTGGGACAGCAGTGAGCTCCATTTATATCTAATGGACAAAGGTCAATCAGATAGCTAGTTTGGTTAATTAGGTATGTCACTGCGATTCAGGAATATGGAACAAGTGCAGGAAATTGGGATTAGCTCACCTTTAGTGGTGGTTATGTTGATGCAGACTAGATGGGCTGAAGGGCCTTTCCTACACAGTATGACTCAATGCATCTATGAGTCTGTCTTCTCTCCCCACTTTCAATCCCCTCCTCCCCACTCACCCCTCGATATTCCTTCACCATTCCCCTCCTCCCTTGCCCTCTCCCATTTCATTCTTCTACTTTTCCTCTTTTGAATTCCTGTTGTCCTCTCCTTCTCCCCACTCATCAATCACCCTACTCTGACCTCCTCCTCTCTATCTCTAGACAAAGCTAAAAAAGAGAAACCATGAAAGTTTGAAGCTATTCTTGATTGAAAAAAATACAGCCAAAGATTTGATGGTATACAGCCAATGACTCGTATCATGGTTCAAAAAGGAAGCTCATCACCACCCTCTGAAGGAGTGACTAGGGTAATAAATGCTGGCTAGCCAGTGATGACCATATTCCACAGGAGAATAAACTCTTGAAACTTTTTTGGTTTGAAGATGATAAATCCCTGAACCAGATGAGCTCCATACCAGGGTGTTGCAGAAAGGTAGCTATAGAGATAGTAGATATATTGGTGATTTACTTTCAAAATTCTGTAGATCCTACAAGTGTTCCTGAAGACTGGAAAGTAATAATGCGATCTCACTATTTTTAAGCAATGGAGAGCAAGAATGGAGAATGACAGATCTGTCAGTTTATTGGAAGTAGTAAAGAAATGTTAGAATCTATGTGATAACTGGACACTTAGAAAAGAATGACAAAACTGGCAGAGTCAACGTAGATTTAGGAACGGGAAATCATGTTTGATAAAAGTGGGAATTTTTGAGGATGTTACTTGTAGTGTAGAAAAAGGGAAACAAGTAGATATGGTGTATTTGGATTTTCGTAAGGCTTTTGTCAAGGACCTGCACGAGAGATTTTTAAACAAAATCAGAGCATAAGGAATTAGGACACTAAAGAAGTATGGATTGAGAATTGGTTAACAGACAGACAGAAAGCAAAGACTATGGATAAACGGAACATTGTCAGGATGGCAGGCTCTTACTGTTATAGGGTTACTGCAAGAATCAGTGCTAGGTCCACAGCTATTCACAATCCGCATAAATGATCTGGATGTTGGGACTAATTGTAATATTTCCAAATTTGCAAATGATACAAAGCTAGGTGGGAATGTAAGTTGTGAGGAAGATGGAGGCCTCAAGTGTACGTTCACGGGTTGAATAAATTAGCAAAAACATAGCAGATACCACGTGATAAGTGTGAAGTGATCTACTTTGTTAAAATCATCAGAATATAGTGAGAGTTCTTGGATGGTGAGAGTTTGGGAAGTGCTGGCGTCTGAAGAGACCTGGATGTCATTGTTCATCAGTCACTAAAACCTAGCAAGGAAATGCAACAAATTGTATGGAAAGCAAGAGATGTGTTGCAATCATTGCATGGGAGTGTGAGTACAGCAATAAACAGGTCTTACTGAAACTGTGTAGAGCCTTGCTGTGTCCTCACTTGGAGCATTGTGTTCAGTTCTGGACTCCTTATCTAAGGAAGTATATACTTGCCATAGAGGGGGGTACAACAGAGGTTCACCAGATTAATCTCTGGGAATGGTGGAATTGTTTTATGAGGAGACTGGGTCTGTATTCTCCAGAGTTTTGAAAAATGAGAGGTGATCTCACTGAAACTTACAGAATTCTTACAGAGAGTGCCATGGTGGATATAGATGAAAGAGTTCTTCAGGCTAGATGTTTAGAAAAGGGGGTCCTAATGTGAGAATAAGGGGTATGTCATTTAAGACTGAGATAAGGAGAATTTCTTCACTCAGAAGGTGGTGACTTTTTGGAATTCTCTACCCCAGAGCGTTTTGGACAGTGAGTTTGTTCAAGCTAGAGATCAATAGACAAAAGACATTAAAAGATATGGAGATAGTACTGATGTACACTCACAGAAGTGTATGCTGTCTACAAGATGATCTGCAGAAATTCACAAAGGCCGCTTAGGCAGGACCTTCCAAACCCATGATCACTTCCATCTAGGAGGACAAGGGCAGCAAATACATTGGAACACCACCACCTTCAAGTTCCCCTCCAACCCACTCACCATCCTAACTTGCTAATACATTGTTGTTCAGTATCACTGGTTCAAAACCCTAGAGTTCCCATCCTAAGAGCATTGTGGGTCAACCTACAGCACGTGGACTACAGTGGTTCACGAAGGCAGCTAACCACCACCTTCTCAAGGGCAACCAGGAAAAGGCTGGCTCAGCTAGCAATGCCCACATATCATGAACAAATTCACATAAAGTAAATAGGGTCTCTAAAAGCCCCATGGACTGATAAAGTGAGCTTATTGCACCTTAAATTTCTGTCTGGCTTTAGGATATCATCCAAATCCCTTGTTCATGACAATCTCGTTCTCTAACATGTAACTGTCCTAATATTGCAATGGGTAAAATCTAATTCTTCAATAAAAAGAAAAAAAAGTCGGAAATATTTAGCATTGGAATAGTGGCATTTCATCAGACCTCTTATTTGTGTTTTTTTTCCATTTAATTCCATTTCCATTTAGTTTATCCTGCCCTTCATCCTATCAGAGACCTTCTGATTCCACCCCCACCACCACCACCAACCCCCGCCCCCCCACCCCCCTCCTCCCCCCCCCCCCCCACCCCACACCCTCCCCAAAGGATTACTTCTGGCTGTTGCTCACCCACCCCAGTCAGGGTGTTAAGGAGGCTCCAATGTCCCCCCTCCACCTCACCACCCAAGCCCCCCGGCTGCTTTCTGATGATGGCTTCTTGATGGTAGATGAGAGGAGGTACCAGAGAATCTTCTCAAAGCTCCAGTCATTGAGCTGCTGGGATGAGAAGGTCACACCTACAAGTTGTCCCCTTGGCTCCAGCCTCAGTGTGAAATTTACCAGCAGGTTCTGGTGAGACCTGAAGCAAATTAATTATCTGCCCAAGTCCACAAAGCAGGGCTGCCAGTTCCCATGACAACATTCCTGCAAAAAATTCTCCCATGGTGGGGAGCTGTGCAGAAATGCAACTTACAAAAATTCCCCATTCCCACCTGAAACATTCTGTCTGTAACTTTGTTCTTTCTCCATAGATGCAGCTGGACCTGCTAGGTGTATGCTGCATTTTGTTTTCAGTTTCAGATTTCCAGTATGTAATTTACTTTTAAACATAGAACATAGAACTGTAGGGTTTTTTTTTGTCATTGTGACAGTGGAGATGTCTGAGATACATTGTTATTGCTTAAATCTAAACTGCTTTAGTTAACTCAATTTTTGCTGTAAATATTTTAAGTATAATGATGAAGAGGTTGGAATAGGATTTAACTCTGTGCTGGTATAAATCAGGCTAAAATCAGCACAATGAATCAGTTATGTTACACTGCAGCAGCTCCTACATTTGTATCTACTATTAAACATAATACGTTCCTTAAGTTTTAACTGAAATAATTTCCAACGTACAAATATGTAACTCTTCTTTCTTTCTTTTCACTTTCCAATATGCTGTGAAGCACAAATATAAAGCAACACTGCTACAACCTACAACAGTTAAGTGAATTATTCTTAACTCTTCCTTGATACAAACTGTCTAGCAGTCAGCAAGTTTCTCAGCCAGTTGGATCCTTAAACAGAATACAGAACCCACCTTCTAGTCACATGGGACTGTCTGTAAGCTGTGCTTCTGCCTTGCGAGGCAGCACAGGGACACAATGCCTGACTGTGTAGGTTTTGTTAGTGTTCCTGCATGTAACTGAATTCTGTCAGAAATATTAAAATGAAGTTGTGTTCTGCTGCAGTCTGCTGAACAGCATGAAAGGTTTTTCTGCTGTATGGTCTGCAGCACACTAAGTACTTGTCCAGATCAATGTTTACAGATTTACCATTTCAGGTGGTGATCTCTAATATCACAACTAATTCTGATGAAAGCTTATCAATCTGAAACATTAATTCTGTTTTTTGTACCACAAATATTGCGTGACTTGCTGGTATTTCCAGCATTTTGTGTTATTTATTGTAGTTTTCCAGCATCCAGATTTTGCTCTTTGTAATAAATAATTTTCAGAAACAACATTAAAATTTTCAGGGACTTGATTGTAAGATTTACAACTCAGAGGGAGGTAATTGGCCCATTTTGGCCCTTCAGCTGAACTCATCCAAATCGTGTTTGCCCGCCCTTTTCCATTATTCTTTCTCATGCAGTTCCTTTATGATGTTAATAAAATAAAGAACTGTAGATGCTGGATATTTGAAAGAAAAATAGAAATTGCTGGAGAAACTCAGCCGGTCTGGCAGCATCTGTGGAGAGAAAGCAAAGTTAACGTTTTAAGTCCAGTGATCCTTTTTCAGAACAGATATTCATTATGATGTTGTTAGCTCCAGTATTTACAGGGAGTAATGCGAACAAATTTCCAGGCAGGAAACCTGGAAGGACAGGTATCCTGGACTTCCTGCTCAATACCTTTCGAAGGATTCCTGTAGATTGTCACCCACTGGCATGAATGACAGATTAAACGTACAGTGCAAGAAGAGGAAAACTGGACCAACAGAATCCATTCCCATGTCGTTATGTCACATTTTGCTGTTTCACCTTTATCTCCTTTTCCTGTTACTTCTTTCAAGAATTCAGTCACGTTAAGAACGTAAAGAGCAGTACAGAGGTCAGCTGTTTTGAGGTCCTTTGTATAATCTTAACAATTATTCCAGATTTCATTTCAATGCAGCAATCTAAGGTGTTGCTTAAAACCAGATGAAACAGGAATAAATTCAACAAAAAAAGGTACCCAAGAAAAAAGGTGCCAGCCATTCACTGGTTCATTTCTTAGGGCACTGCCTTGACCAATCAAAATCAACCTGCCTAGTTTAAAATTTGAACAAAGCCTGGCAGTTAACTGCCAATCAGAAGTGATTATTGCTTTCACCAATCAGAGTCCACTTGCCAACCAGTCAGCATTCTTCCCTCTTCAGTATAAATATGATTATTCCCCTGGATTTTGTATTCTTGTGAATTGTCCTGATTAGTACAAGATGAAAAGCTTTGACAAAATGTACCTTTTCCAAAATACTCAAGTAAAATTGTTATTTTCTTCATGCTTCAGGTCAGCTGAAGACCCAGATATGAGTGAAGGTCAAGAGGGTGTTGTGAGCTCTGAGTGGGAGCATGTCTTACACCTCTGTGATTTGAACGCCAAGACCAGTAAAGTGTCCAAAGATGTGTCACGGATGCGATCTGTTCTCATGTCACTCAGCCAAGTGCCACTGACTCTAAAGTGAAGTCAAAACAGTCAGGCTTGTGTGCTTTAAATTTTAATCAGTGGTTTCAATCTCAAAGAAATATTACATTTCAATTCCAAATTGTGTGGGATGGTTTGTCAGTGTTGAAATTTGCTGCTTGTGGTTCCTTCCTTTTTCCAAGTTAAAAGTGTTTTGGAAGAGGAACATGTCTCGGAGATGAGTTCTGACAGAATCGATTAAATCATGTATTTGCTATTTGCTTTGTGTGAATTAGTGTATGTGATTTTCTTGTTCTGAGAGTACAGGACTGCAGTACAATATGTATTATTTGTTTCAATACTGTAATATAGTAAAAACTACATTATAAATCTGTTATCTGTCTAATGAAATAAAATTTATCAACAAGTTAATTACAGAGTGAAAATTCTATTACTTGTAATAATTTTAAACATTGCTTTGCTTCAGTGTTTTCTTTTGAGTTTGCAGGTTGTAAATTCGTTCCTGAGTCCAGGATTTTAGCACAGAACCTGGAACATTGAGTTACATCATGAGGGAGCTTTGCTGTTTCAACATCTTCCTCTTCAGGCTGGTGTTCAGGCTCCTGGTGTACTATTAAAAGATATTTCTCCCAATGTCCTGGCCAACATTGCTAACTCAAACACCATGAAGAAATGGACTTTTATTTGTGAAATTTTGCTGTGTACAGGTTGGTTGCTTTTTCTGTCTCAAAACAATGATTAAATTTTTTAAAAAATTAAAAGTGAACTGCTTAAAGATATGGAAATGATCAGCCATTCCAAAAAAGAACTGCATGAGCACTCGAGAGAAATAAATGACAAGCTTAAGGGACTAAAGTGTGGAAAAGGGCTGAGTGGAGTGCTGTATAGGGAGTTGGCAACGGGAGTGAGTGGAATGTTGCGTAGGGAGTTGGCATTGGGAATGAGTGGAATGTTGCGTAGGGAGTTGGCATTGGGTGTGAGTGGAATGTTGCGTAGGGAGTTGGCATTGGGAATGAGTGGAATGTTGTGTAGGGAGTTGGCGTTGCGTAGGGAGTTGCCATGGACTCAATCATTATTTAAGGGCCATGATGACTTATTGTCCTGTGGACCTGAAAAAGGGACTTTATAAATAAATTCTGACGCTGAACTTAAATTTATTTGTGTGAGCACGAGTGGTATTGATTCTAATGCCCTTCTTGCACTAACCATTACATATTCTTTCCCATACACTCCGCTCATGATAAACTCTGCTTCTTGGTCATAGCCATAGAGTCAGACAGCCCTGTGGTCTTGTGACCCATTGAGTCTGCACTGACCTACCTACAGTAATCCCATTTTCCAGCGCTTGGCCCAAAGCCTTGAATGTTATGCCCTCTCATGACTGGCCCCTCAACTAAGGGGAACAGCTGCTCTTTATTCACTCTGTCCATCCCCTTCATAATCTTATATGCCTCCATCATGTTCCTCTCAGTCTTCTCTATCTAAAGAAAACAATCCAAGCCTATTTAGTATCTCACTATAGCTCAATTTCTCCATCCCAGGCAACATCCTGGTGCGCCTCCTCTGTACCTCCTGTAGTGCTATCACATCCTTCCTGTAGTAAGGTGACCAGAACTGCCCACACTACTCCAGTTGTGGCCTAACCAACACTCTGTACAACTCCAACATTACCTCCTTCCTCTTATAAGCTATGCCATGACTGATAAAAGCAGGTGTCCCATATGACTTCTTAACTAATCTTTTCACTTGCTTTGTTGACTTCAGAGATCTGTGAATAATTATCCCAAGATCCCTCCATTCCTCTAAGCTACCTAATGTCCTACCATTCTTTAAATACTGTCTCATTTTGTTTCTTCTTCCAAAGTGCATCACCTCATACTTATCAGGATTATAAAGCATCTGCCACTGGTCTGCTCATCTGACCAACACATCTCTATCTTCCTCTAACTTACAACCACCTTCTTCACTATAATCATCTACCAATCTTGGTGTCATCTGAAAACTTGCTTAATGTGCCCCCACAGTTTCATCAATATCATTTATGTATATAACAAACTGTTGTCTACTTCCTCCTTAAACAAATTAGACAATTTCAACCAGAATGTGATGAATGAATTTGCCCAGGTATCCCACAATACCAAAGCAGTCAAATCACTACAAACACAGGCCGGTACCAATGCAAAGCTGTCCCAACTTTATTAAAAAACAAGTTACAATGGCTTTTGCCACAAACTAATACTATCTCTGATCCTTTACAGCCCCTTAGGCTTATAATACTTCCCAAACCTCTTGCAGATTTGTGCAGTGGCTCTCTCTTTCTGTCTCTGTGGGACTGTGAAGCTGCTCTCTCTCTTCCTCTATCTCTCTCTCTGCACAGTCTTTGCCTTTGGCCATACTGGTCTCCTCAGAAGGTCTAAGTGGGTACAAGAGAGCCGTCCGCAGGTGAACCCTGTTCTTATACCTTTTTATATGGTTTTCTGGAACTTTCTATAGTTCTGGCCAAATGGGGAGATTCACCTAATAGTTTTAAACAGAGTCAATCATTTGGATGGCATGCTACTGTGCCTTTCTGTCTGAGCTGTCCTTTGTTTAGTGGATAAATTGTTGGGGATATGTCAGCCCAGGATAACTGTTGCCTTTCACATTATGTTAATATCATGAGCACCTGGCTACTGTGTTTGCTCTGTGTCTGGTACCTAGGTTTTGTGACTTCAGTGTTTTGCTTGGCCCATTTACCCAGCATGCCTTGCTATTTGGCCAAGTTAACAATCTGTGTTTTAGCAGCCAGGAAAACAAGAAGCGTCCCAAACCTTCATTGTCTGTGTGTGTTGAGACAAGTGAATATTGGTCATAGAACATAGAACATAGAACATTACAGCGCAGTACAGGCCCTTCGGCCCTCGATGTTGCGCCGAGCTGTGAAACCAATCTGAAGCCCATCTAACCTAAACTATTCCATTATCATCCATATGTTTATCCAATGACCATTTAAATGCCCTTAAAGTGGGCGAGTCTACTATTTTTGCAGGCAGGGCATTCCACGCCCTTACTACTCTCTGAGTAAAGAACCTACCTCTGACATCTGTCCTATATCTATCACCCCTCAATTTAAAGCTATGTCCCCTCGTGCTAGCCATCACCATCCGAGGAAAAAGGCTCCCACTGTCCACCCTATTTAATCCTCTGATCATCTTGTATGTCTCTATCAAGTCACCTCTTAACCTTCTTCTCTCTAACGAAAACAGCCTCAAAACCCTCAGCCTTTCCTCATAAGACCTTCCCTCCATACCAGGCAACATCCTGGTCAATCTCCTCTGCACCCTTTCCAATGCTTCCACATCCTTCCTATAATGCGGTGACCAGAACTGTACGCAATACTCCAAGTGCGGCCGCACCAGAGTTTTGTACAGCTGCAACATGACCTCATGGCTCCGAAACTCAATCCCTCTACCAATAAAACCTAACATACTGTATGCCTTCTTAACAACGCTATCAACCTGGGTGGCAACTTTCAGTGATCTATGCACATGGATATGGTCATGTCTTTTTCCTGCCAGCTCGTGTTCATGTATCCTGGTTGTTAAGTTTCCTCCCCGTTTGTCCAATGTAATATTTATTGCACTCGCTGTATGGGATTCTGTATATCATGTTAGTTAGCTTGCAGCTTTCATATAGTCCACGTGCTTGTTCAGGACCATCACACCTACCCGAACTTTATACATCACTGGACCAGACCTTGCGTCGACCATGCCTCTTACCCATGCAGGGCCATTCCCATAGTTCCAACATCAAACTCTGTTCTCTGAAGTAAACTGTCTCTGTTGCTTAGCGGAGTTTTGTGTCTGGCATTGGCATTCCCAATGCCGTTTCACACTCAACACACACACACAGACACACACACATGTCCGGGGACATCAGATTTAACCTGGTGCAGAGTCTTCTCCCCATCAGCAACTCTGCTGGAGCTATCCCTGTTGTTGCATGAGGGGATAGTCCTCTAATCAAACAAGAACTGGCATAATTTGGTATCAATTGAAGCTGTAGGCTGTTTCTTTAAGCCTGTCTTCAAAGTTTGAAGTGCTCTTTCTGCCAGAGTATTGGAAGATGGATGGTATGGAGCTGTCCTTACATGTCGAATACTATTCGACTTCAGGAAATACTCAAATTCTCTGCTGGTAGACATAGCCTGTTATCTGTGACCAAATCCTCCCGGACTCTGGACTCTGTGTATTGTAAAAGATGCGCGTGGTTTTTCTATTGTCGTCGCCGTGTTTGACGAATGAACTCTATGCATGTCCAACCACTTTGAGTGGGCATCCACGATGACAATGAACATTGAACCCTGCACAGTCGATGTGTAACTGAGTCCAGGGTTTACCCAGCTATTCCCACAAATGTGGGGGAGTTTCTAATCGTAATTTTTGTTCTTGTTGGCACTCTGGGCACTGTCCCACGAACGCAGTTATGTCAGCATATAACCCTGGCCACCAGACATGACATCTTGCTAAAATCTTCATTTTGGAAATCCCTGGATAATCCTGTTGGAGTTCAATATCTGGCGATGACCTTTGCTCGGGACAGTCACTCTTGGTCCCCGCAATGAAATGTCTTCCTCTACTGTGATCTGGTCTCTCTGGGTACTAAAAGGTTTCAGTTCTGGTTGTGATGGCCCTTTGGTTTCCCCCATCACCACCAGCTGTTTCAGTTTTGCCAGGACAGGATCTTTCTGTGTCCAAAGTCTGATATTGTCAGCTGTGACTGGAAACGTGTGCAGAAAATTGAAAACCATTACAGACTCTTCCAGTGGTGATACCACCGGGGGTGTACCTGCCAGTGGGAGGCAGCTCAATGCATCCGCATTCGCTGCTTGGCCTCCTGGATGGTGTTCCGATTTGTAATTATATGCACTTAGTATTAGAGCTCACTGCTGAATTCAGCCTGAAGCTATGGGCAGGCACTGCCTTGTTCTCTTTAAGTAGACCTAGCAGGGATTTGTGCTCCCTTATCACAAGTTCATGTCTGTAAAGATATGGTGGAACTTCCTGACTCCAAATATGAATTGCCAAAATTTCCATCTCTATCTGGGTGAATTTACACTCTGTATGAGCTAAAGTCCTGGATGCATACACTATTGGGCATTCCTCTCCATTGGGCCACCTATGAGCTAATATGACCCTGATGCCATAAAAGGAGGGATCACATGTCAATACCAGATCTCACTTGGGATTATGTAGAGGGTAAGAGCTGTTTCTTCAGGAACAAATACAAAATTGCTGGAAAAGCCCAGCAGGTCTGGCAGCATCTGTGAAGGAAAATACAGAGTTAACATTTCAGGTCCGGTGACCCTTCCTCAGAACTGATGGTGGCTGGGAAAAAAAGTCAATTTATATGCAGAAAATAGGGAGATGGGTGGGGTAGGGAGTAAACGATAGGATAGGGCCCGAAAGAGAGAAAGACAGTTGGATAGACAAAGGAGTTGCTAACGATCAGGCTGGGAGGGTCAATAGTTGTTAATGGGGACTGTTAGTGACTAACAACAGGAGTGTGTAATGGCAGGCTATGTGGTAATAAGGCCTGGTGTGTGGGGTCGGGGTCTAGGACATGGGTGAGTTTAGGCCCTAAAATTATTGAACTCAATATTGAGTCCAAAGGGCTGTATGGTCCCCAAGCGGAAAATGAGGTGTTGTTCCTCCAGCTTGCATTGGGC